GTCCGACTAGTTGGGTGATACTAAAACAATTAGACCCTTCGCCCTCAAGGGCCACGGGTCAATAGCCCATTTGGCTTCGCCTCATGGGCTATTGACCCTATTGACGTCCTCGCGTACCTCGTGATCAGTCCGCCATTCTTTCCATCACTGCAGCATTACCTGAGGCTAGGGATGCGCAGAAAGCTTCGCAGTATGTTTTTCCGCTCTTAGCTTCTCAGCCATTCTCGTCCCCTCTGGGGACGACAGTGCTCCTCAGCCACAGCAAGTCAGCACCAGGATCTTCGCGACCACCTCGACCGGACCAACCTCGTCACCAATCTCTATGTGACCTCTACGTCACCAATCTCTATGTGACCGTCTTCTTGATCATGCTTAATTTGTGCTCGAAGTCTTCTCTTATAGACAGAGTAACTAAAATAAATGTCTCGCGGCTTAAACCATTGCAGAATATTACGCTCGAGGCAAGGATTGTCGGCGACAAAGGTGAAGTGTTTGAGTCACACGCTCACTTCATCGCTGACAAAGATGGCGAGGTTGATGTTTGCCGTGACTCGTCTTTGGGAGGATCTTACAGCGGAGTTTCACCCATGGGATTGCTATGGAGCATGAAACCAGCACCGGGACAGAGAAAAGGAATTCGACTGATGAAATCAGATGTTACCAAACCGTACAACATCGTCTTGAACTGTTTTGATGACCATGTGACCCCGAACGAATCTTCACTGCAGCCCTTGTCAAGCGTGACCTTCCAGAAATGGTACATGGCCGAAGAAGTGAAAAGAATTCCAGTGAGAGAAGGAAGAATCCGTGGGACTTTGTTTCTTCCACCGGGACATGGACCATTTCCAGGTAGTCATGTGTCTGATTGCGGTGGAACTAACACCATGATTTCTATGCATTTGTGCAAACCTCATACCAGTCACGCATACAATTCTGTAATGAAGCAGCTCTCGTAAGTTTGTACTGTAATTCTATTTGTCGTCATTCCAGCAGCTGTTATTGTTTTGGGGCAAGGGGGCATCGTTTCTGTTGTTTGTTCTATTGTTCTCTCAAAGGGTTTCAAGCCATTCATGTGACACTTTCCGAGAGCTGCATCATGAGCATACAATTTGATTACGGTGTGTTCAGAAAATGGTACTTCCAAATACCCAAGTAGGTCGAGACCTTGTACCCGATTTCTGGTGTAAGTGCTTGGAAAATTAGATGTTTGATTTCTTTACTCTGGCCTAAGTTGGCATGAAAAAAAACTTGATTAAATTTCTCTAGGAGCTTGCTTGAAGCATCAGAAAATTAGATCTGAACCAAATGGTCAGATCAAAACTTACTTGATAATGATAAAAATTGTCAAAAGTGTGTACCTCTTAATTGTATTTTTTCGATTCGCTATATAAATCTAATCTTCTTCTTCTTCTTCCTCCTCCTCCTCCTCCTCCTCTTCTTCTTCTTCTTCTTCCCTGCGTGCCTATTTTTCATGTAATCAGCGCGTGATCATGTGGGTGTCCAATTACAGATATGCAATTTGAACTTTTTGTAATTGGATACCTGTAATTGGATACCCACATGATTCGCACGTCTATCATGTGCACTCTAATGGCTTCCTTCACATTGCTTTCTTCAGTTTTCAAAACTTATGAACAGTGCTACAGATGACTTCACGGAAAAGAAGTTCTCAAAAGACATAATTATTTCCAAAATTTGTTATAGATATGATTAATTAGTAATTGGACCTCGTGTTGTGCCATTCAGGGAGTTATCGTGCTCATAATGTCAAATCGGCCTCACGCTTCACGGTCGTCCAATTTTGAAATTACTCACTTGATTACTCCCTGAATTGTGCTCCACTTGGTGCAATTACTATTACTTATTATTATTATTATTATTATTTCTATTTAATTTTAGTTATCACTTTTATATAGGGTGATTGCTATTAAATATAGTTTTCTATTGTATATGATAAACCTAAGACTTGACTCAAAATTCTTGCTTGTTGAGATACTAAATCTGCAGAAGTAAAAATCATTACTTCATTTTCCCGTACCAGCTATTTGACCGAATACTTGAAAAGTAAAGCTCAGTTGAGCCCAATCAAACCTCAACCTGCAGCTAACACAATTGAACATTTAATTTCCAAACTTGTGGATGTTCAATAGCACACAATTGGAAGACTGTAAAATGACATTGAATTGGTTGGTTTTTCTTGATGGCTGCAAATAAATTAGTATAAAAGATCATATTATTTTTGAGCTTGAAACTGGAAGGCCAAAATATGTATATTTTAATATACTGATGCACCTCTGAGATTACATATACTATATGACAGGCATAGAAATGTGTGATGTGCTACTACCAAATGCTGATAGTCAACATGAATATTGAAAGAAATTTCTGAAAGTTACTTAAGAGAATAAATATTTTGATCTTGAGAGTATCAGGATCATTTATGCTTGCAAATACACATATTCTTCAGGTACTTAACTTGTTTACAGTGGAACCGCTGCCTTACAGCCACCTCGTTATTACGGCCACTTTATTCTAGCTGGCCTGAACCTCACTCAGTCATTTTGTTATATAAAGAACCCCTTTAATATGGCCACCCTGTTAATATGGCCAGATTTTTGTGGCCTGTTGGATTAACAGGGTTCCACTGTATATTAAATTAATGTCAGGCTTTGACATGTGGGATATTAATTTTAACAGGGTTTGTTTTTGTTGTAGGTGTTGTTGATCTACAGGGTGGTGCCGGGGGATTGAAGGAATCCAAGGCCTCTCTGTTATCTTCCCATGGATTTGCAACTTTAGCACTGGCCTATTTTGCCTATGATGATCTCCCATCATTGCCGCAGTACATTGATCTTGACTATATTGAAGAGGCAGTAGAATGGCTGTACCATCATCCCAAAGTGTTGCGAGATGGTATAGCTATTCAGTCATACTGCTTAGGTTCATGGGTTGCATTTCTCCTTGCAAGCTATAGGACTGATCTCGTCAAAGCCATGGTAGCAGTATCCCCATGGCATGCTCCCTTGTGGAAACCTTACAGATATAAAGGAAAACTCTCAAATAAATTTCGTTACCCAGAGGAAAACATTAAAATTACAGATGGAGGGCTCATATTCAGGTACTGCATGCCATTAGCAAAAGAGGTTGCTGTTCCTTCAGCTGAATTACCAGCAGTGACCCCTGTAGAGAAAATCACATGCCCAGTTTTGTTTGTTTTTGGGACAGATGACTTGTTGATTGATTGTGACTTCACAGTAGGCTACATACTTGAACAGCTTAGAGCAGTGGGTAAGGAATCTCTTTGTACCGTTATGCGTTTTCCAGGTGCCGGTCATCGGATTGAACCTCCATATAATCCACACTACCATACAACTTACATGAAGCCTTTCAAACAGCACTGGGTGTTGGGTGGGGAAACAAAATCTCATGCATTAGCTCAAGAAATTTCTTGGCACAAGATTTTAAATTTTCTTCAGCAAAATCTGATAAAATTGAAGAGTAGTTTATAGCAAGTAAATAAATGTACAATGTACAATGATAAGGGCATATAGAAGTACAGAATTGAAGAGTAATTTGAAGCAAATACTCTGCAAATACAATTAGTCTAATTCTACTTACAGTGTATTTTTCTCATTTATTCCTAACAAAATTGAAATGTAAACAGGAAACAAGGAATTTCCTTGGGGGAGGGNGGGGGGGGGGGTGAAAGAGTACTCAGACATTTCGAGGATGTGCGTGGTAGACCCAGAAAAAGTGCTAATCAGGGTAAAGTCAACTCCTAAATATTCCACATTTCCAAAATGTGACTCAAAAAAGTCCCAGTTGCTTCACATAACAATGAGAGCCCTGGATTACATGCTTTTAGCCCAAGAAAGGTCGTTACCACAGTTTTTACGACAATTTGTCGCCCCCTAAAGGTTACCACAACCCCCAGAAAAGCTTTACACCTCCCTGACATTAGACTTGAGTGCCCTCGAACTCAACGCAGAAACATGCGAAAACCCTGGCAAACCAACCGATTTAGTTAAAGCCTGGTTCAATAGCGACATATCCACATAACAGCATTGGCGTAAGGACAGAAAGAAAAGATCATATTTTTGTGCCAGACAAAGTTTTCTCATACCATGTTGTTATGTTATATTGCGCGAAGGTATTAGTTTAGTTTACCTAAAATTACTCTTATTTTGCTGGTGTGAGGAAGGCCAAAAGAAAGTTCTCGCCCAATTTGTTTTGTCTTTTGGAAACGCTTTGATCGTTATGCCGCTCATGACGTCTGCTTAACCCTTCGAATACCAAACTTTCGCCAAAAAGTACCGTTTTTGACAGTTTAGTCAGGTTTTTTGGCTGCCATGACACTAAATAAGCCTAAGTTTTGCTAAGAAAGCTTTTTTTTTTTTAGCAAAAGGAGAGATTTTTTCGAGGATTAGGTACAAAATTGAGCAATATTTCAATTCCCGGCATGCGCATAAGCCAAAATTTGGACGTAAACGTAGTGGACCATTTTACCACCGTTTTTGCACCAAAGCTGATAACATTTTTCGATTTGCGACGTTGTAATGTCGTCGATATCTAAACCTGACCATTGTACGGAAAGGCCTAGCCTAGTACTACTATCTGCTTATCAAGGATATTTGATGATATTTAAATTGATGACGTCACAAGTGGTACAAAGAGCACGACCATTAATTACGCATATATGCGTAATTGGGGCTCAAAGGGGTAAAGCTGAGCCCCTGTTGACCGGCCCAAGGTTCATAAAGTTCATCGCAAGTGATTGATATTCTAAACTTTTAAACTGTTTGTCTCCTGGTGTCTCTGACCATTCTTTATACTTACACAACAATGACAACAGGCAAACTAAAATGCAACCCCACATAGTGGAACTTCACAAAATTTTACAAATCAGTGTGTGCCCGCAGTGCATAGAGTGAAAATCCGTCCTCATCCTTGTCCAATACTGTAAAACAGATTCGACACGTAAATGACTTGACACGACCCCGTACGAATCGTAGGGGTCGTCGACTTGTATATACATCCTAAGTCACACTAATGGATATGCACTTAACCAACTGTGCGACTCGTAAACCATTATTTCACGACCCGTGCGACTCGTAGGAGACGTACCAAAAGGAAAATGCCATTTACGGGTCATATCAGTTCGTGTTTAGTGGACAACGAGAGAGAGGACCACAACTGGACAATGGAGACCTCAGATTGTGTGTGTGTGTTTTTTTAAATAAGTTGCAGAGTAGTCTATGTTGTCATAGATTTGACAAGTTCAAATTTAACTCCAATTGTAACTGATGATTGATGACAAGTCCGCGTCGGAAACGTCTTTTGAACTTAAAAACTCTGTCCTTTTTCAGGATAAATTAGATCACGAAAATCATACCTAATATGGACATTGATTATTCCTGAAGAAAGTGTTTAAAGACTGGTTTGGTACCAAGTGTTGTTTTCCCAGCAGGAAAAAGCGATCCACTACTGGAAACAACTGATTTAAAAAATGTTAAAATACTCTTATAAGAAGCTTGCGAGTTTTTTTTTCACAAATCATGAGGTTTTGTTCCCGAACGTTTCCGTTAACTTGGTATTTATATTGCACCTGACGATGATAAAAGTTTCTGTGTAGAAAGATGTATCTCTCAAATCTATCTTTAAAAAAAATTGACATCATTCTAAACATTATCATAAGCCTGCTTTAGCCAAGTCTCATATACGTGTATGAATTCAATAACCTGGTCAGCGGAAAGAGAAACTCATCTGAAAACGAAAACAACAACAACAACAACAACAACAACAACAACAACAACAACAACCACCACCACAAATTGATATTGCGTATTCAGTAAAAGGAATAAAAATATCTAGCCGTGGGAAATGTTTTAGGAGAAAACCAAACACGAAATACTTGTATCATGAAGCAGGAATAATGCTAAAAAATAATTTTTGTCTCTGAGGCACGCATATAAGTTAGGGTTGCCACAGGTCAGGAAATGCTGAGAGAGGGAAAAGAATTTTTCAAGGTCAGGGAAAAGTCAGAGAATTTTATTTTGAGGCAGGGAAAATCGATTTTTTGAAGAAAGGTCAGGGAAAATCGAAAGAATTTAATACGGCTGATTTAATGTCATTTAAGGCTGGGAGAAACATTTTGGGTCATTGTGATCTCAACAATATTTTTTACTTAATGAAGAAAAAAAAGATTGTTGAGAACTTATTAGTCTTAGTGAGCGAGTAGAAAGGATGGCTGAGGCCAGAAGCGGCTAGTGGATCTGACATTTTGTTTTTCAGTTTTTGGTTAGGGAAATTCTATTTTTATCAGGGAAAAGTCAGAGAATTTTGAAAAGTGATGCCTGTGGCAACCAAGTAAGTACCAAAGAATATTGCAAAGTTCAGTGGAAATCAACAAAAAAGACAACCCGAAACACTGAAAACACCGGAAACTTTCGAGACCATTACACCTGCCTGTCAGTTAATATATACGATGATGGTAAAAGAAAAGATTGTCGTTTCCGCTTGTCTTCGATCGATGTTTGAAATCTAAAACGAAGAGCCAAGAGGTGAAAAACAACCAGGTAAGTTCATCGTCTCTATTTCATACTTGTATATCGTCCCATGTTGTTACAAAAAAAAAATTGTGAGGCAGTATGCACTCACGCCGTTTAAAACGTAGAAATGACGGTTTGATTTTGGGAGAACTCAATGTTCAAAATGGCGGACATCTATTCGGCAAATATATTGAGTTTTCTTCTACCGTACGATGGAACACAGCTCAAAATAAAATAGATTTTGGATGTATCAAATATGTTTGGTTTTTTTTCTAAATTTGCGAACGGTTTCACGATGAAATCCGAGTGGCGAGTGAAGTTCTCGGTAAAATGTCAGTTTAGCGGGGATCACACGGTTCACAGACTGACGATTTACCACTGACTCAAGGTAACATGTTGGATTCGTAATCAAAAAATATATATCAGTACATAATATCTATCTACATTAAGATGGATAGCATGAGTCGAACTTACCTTAACTTATACCGTAGCTACCAGTTCAGTTGTCCTTCGGGTTGAAATTCGACGTCTTGGTATACGCCGAGCAGTAGAATTTCTTGAAGTTCAACTCGAATGTAAATTAAAACCGTGATATTTCGTTGAAACATGTACAAGTGATTTTCTGCCATTTCAGAAGATACTGCCTGCAAGTTACAAGTTATGGTCCTTTATCAATTTGCTTCTTTTTCTCCCTCGGAGAGTCGGCTGACAAGCTATTCAGAAGAAGGCCGTAGTTTGCCAATAAGTAAATAATCCGCAAAAGAAAGCCTTAAATTGATCATTTTTCTCCCAGAAATTCGGTGCCATGCTTTCTGTGCGCGTGTATATTTCTGTTATGAAATTAGAAAGTTCTATACTCTTTGCCGGACTAATTTTTATGTTGCATGAATTGTGAATGAGGTTCAGAAGTGACTGTAACTAGTCAACAAATTTGAGATCTCCTGAATTAAATTTGCAGAGACAGTTTTATCCACAGCTATCTATTAGGTTATTGTTCCATATACATGAATAGAAGCCAGATCTTTAAATTTCCTGCTATAAAATCTCAATATTAGTGCAAGAGAGAGAGTTAGATATAATCTTTAAGAATGACGATTAACAAAAAAAACTACCGAACTCAAAAATTCTCAGATCATTTTAATTTGTTAGGGGTGGTAGTCATGAGATATATATTTCCAGTTATTCAATAAATTAATTGAGCTGTGTTCATGTCAGAGAATAATTATAGTTAATATACTTTTGAATTTTTTTCAACTGGAACTTTTTTTGGTACACGACATCGTAGCGATATATACTTTCAAAGTAACATAGCTGATTTTTTGAAATAGTCTCACTTTAGGTATCCTTGTTGATTTTTAGCATTGTTCACGGCGTTTCAACAACTATTTAGAAGTTGCCAAATGTCACTTTAACGAATATATTGTTTGTAGTGTAGTCGCTCCGTTTCTGTGAAACTCCTGAGCTAGGAAGCGTAACAGCCGCTAACACCTCGGCAAAGATCTCGATCAGCGCAGTTCCGAAGTTCTCACAAAACCTTACTTACACGACTTAAAGGACACAGTAGGTTTTATAACACGGTAGCTAGAAATCAGTCCGTTCTAGTTCACGCATTTTAAAGTAAATACCGAGCATAAACTCAGTGAATTTTCACTAGATCACCTGAAGCTGCGTAAAACCAACCATACTGCAAAACGTAAACCTGCAACATGATATACTTTGAAATGAGAACATCCTCTTTATAACGTGCGAGTAAACTGTATTACAAGTCATTTGAAATATAATTGCGTAGTTGGATTTTAGTTTTGCTGTTAGCTGATCAGTGAGTGAACGTATCGATCAGTCTTTGCATTGCTTTTGCCTTTCCTTGCATGCCTTTTAAACGTTACCGTTAACGCTTTTTTGAACGAACGCCTAATGGGAAAACAAAGTTGATTCGAAAGTTGTGGACTAAACTATAGACCGACGAAATAATCAGACTTTCAAAATCGAAGATAAGGACATAATGAAAAATAAAATCGACTTGACAATGGCATGGGGGAGGATCTGATTTCTGATTGGATGACCTTGACGATCCGGAAGTAAGCGCCACGAATGTACGCTTTAGATTTGCATGTTGGTAGTTTCTAGTTCTTGCCTGAAGATATCATTGTGCTGTTTCCGTATATTTGAACCACGAGATCTATATTTAAGTGTCTGCTCTATCACCACTTGTTCTAGCCTTATTTGGCAAGCCCAAGGTGTCAAAACTCTGCCTTAAATTTGAAATTCAAATTTTTTTTGCCTCTGCCACGCACTCTGGTAAGATGTGCTGTTTTGATTCTTGTTTATTCTGTTCACTCTGTGTCGAGTTTGTTTCATGAACAAATCAACGGTACTATCATGTTGATATATCGATTACAACTCGGTTATATGTTGAGAAAACATATAAGATATTTGTTTATTCGATGTAAGAGGTTGCACCAGTTTTGATCTCAGGGTAGACACTCTAAGTGCCAAGCTGCTGAGACAACAATAACAGTTCATCTATTTCAATTTCTGTGAAACAAATCTGGAAGGCACATCATGAATTTAGTTCATAATATACACAACAGCTGAATCAGGGTATCGCTGTTTATTCGTATATTTTGATTATTTGAGTTTCAGTGATGATATACATTCATAAAATCTTTCTGAAAAATAAAAAATTGAGAGTGTATGGATCGTAAATTTATACTAACGATCTGTGTAAGAAGCCCAAAGGAAAAAATCTCTCGTTCAAGATTGATTCTTTTCCTATAACCCGGGTAAAGTTTTTGACTGTGTTCGCTAACCTTAATATTTTCGCATATTTGAAGTAAAATCTAGGGAACCGCCAGTTCCAAAAGTAACAGATTTTGAATATTACTGTATTTCCTTTTAAAACTCTTCCGAGAGTTTGTGTTCATGTAAACAGGCCTTGAATAAATTAGCACAGGAAAACTGTATGGATATTTACTGAATACCTGGCTGATTCCTGAGATATTTTTTTATTTATGGTTGTCGAAAAATATGCCTAATTCTGTTATAGAACGCAGTGCGAATTTTCGGTTTATACTCCGAATTTTTCAAATATCTCAGGTTTAATTACAAAAGCTTTCTCTTTACTTAGATTTGTTGATTTAATCTCAGCGAGACCATAATCGGCGTGTAAACAATTCCCCTCAATTTCTTATTCATAAAGCTATGCTTCATCGTTGACAGCTCGGTATAAAAGCCACTGTCATTAAATATTAACAAACATCCAAAGTTTTTTTTGCGTTCTTCTGTTCGACGATTCGAACGGTCTTTCGCAAAAGGTTTGTTTAAAACACTGAAATACCCATTTGAACTTTTTTTCCTCGCGAAATTTTCATTTAAATCTCGAAACTAATTTATATTTTGCTTGTCTTGTCTTTGCAGCTGCGATTCAAGTGGTGTGGGCTTCGGGTAAATGCAAATTTCACAGGGATCAAGATTATCAAGGAAAACTAAAAATACAACGCGTACGCAGCGACAAATTCAATCAAAATTTAGGTTAGCCTTAGTTAGAAGGAAAGAAAATTAGCCAAAGGGGAGCTTTAAACTGAGGACGTTTTCAAGGAGTCGACGAAGTGTTCGCTGAGGAACCGTCGGGTCAACTGCGTAAAAGTGCCGAAGAAAAAAAGCGGTCATGGACAGTTATTTGATTTTGGAAACATTGGACTAAATACTTTGTTTTGAGATTGTAACTAAGTGTCTGGCTTTGGCGAAGGAGAATTCAATCAAAACAAGGCCCTCACAGATCATTCTTTCAGCCTTTTCGCGAATCGAAGTAAATTCTTCAGCAAATCTCTCGACGCGTTGTGACAGCCCTAGCGGCGGCCATCTTGTTTAATCTGCGGCAAAAGGTCAGCGACTGTGGGAAGAATTTTCGACGAAATCTTCGCTTAAAATTCTTCGCAGGCTCCTCGGAAGCCTACATTAGGGGAACGACACGCACACATCCTGGTGTAAGACTTAGTTGAGAGAAGTTCGCATTTCTAGACCATTTTAATCTTGAATATTTTATTCTGGTGGATTTCATCTGTGAACTGAGTAAATAGAAAACTGTCATCATGTGTTGCTCGTGCCTCTGTAGCTGCATCCAGAAATTTCTTGCAAATTGCTGTAAATGCCTGGGGAAAAGTTGCATGGCAATTTGCCGCGGGATCTGCCGTTGCTTCTGCAATGCTGTTTCGCCCGGCTGTGGATTTCTCTGTCAGATCATTCTGTACGCCTTATTCCAAGGTTTCAACATTGGCACTGATGTCGGAGTTTTCCTCGAAACGTCCGAAACGTACGCGCGATGCGACGAGCTCTCAACCGCAACACTGCAACCCTTGAGCAACGACACCAACCTAACGCGCCCGTATTGCGTCGCGACGGAAAACGCTACCCAGGTGTTGCTAGGTGAGAAGGCGGCAACGCTTAAGCTCCTCGAAGGCGTTTTCTTCTTCTTTATCTGCCTCTCCGGAGGGATGTACGTCGTTCACATCGTGGTGCTCTTCCCGAACACGTGTAAGCATTGGAGAGACGAAAACTTCGAGAACATGGTGTCTGAGGCTGGGCCTTACTACCAGAAGATCCTTCAGATTCACACGCTGTTTCTTTTGGTGGAGACGCTGATTCATGACGTGCCTGTGTCATGTCTGGCTGTAGAGCTGTGCGCGCAGATGTGGGGAGCCGGTGGTATCAACTGCTGGGACTGCGCCATGACACCTGGAGAGCTCCCCCCAAATCCACAGGCGCTGATCAACTGCGAGATGTGGCTAGGGCTTCTGTTAGGCTCCATAGCTATTGTCAGCATCTACAAGGGTATGTAAAATCTGATTCTATTATTTATAGATTGCTTGTAAGAAATATTGCAAAACAATAAAAAAAACTGAAGATTTGAATCTATTAAGTTGATAAAATACGTAAATACTGTTAAAAAAAATAACAATGCATTTTTTAGTTTTATGAAATTAGGCAACCTCTTCCCAGGGTTTTAAGTTGTAAAGGAGCCTAGAAAGATACGAAAAGTAAATCAAATTTGTGAATTAAAATGTGATTCTGTTCCGAGAACGTGCAGCTGCGTACAGGTCAAGGTAGGCGTTGTATTTGACAGCTCTCTGTGTTGTCATTGCTAGCGCACCATCCTGATACCAATTTTATTTTCTAGTGAAGTTTTAATCACTCAGTTATTACCTCGTTTCTTTGCATGAAATCTAGTGTCCGTCAAATCGTTGGAACATGTCTCTGTGGATAAAAAACAAACGCGCAATTTTCAAGCTGTTGTAAACTAGTCCAGCTCTGATCGATTTGATCAACATACAATCACGGATTGTCAACTTAACATTTTTTAGCCGACATGATAATAATGATGATTTAATAATTTCTATTACGCTATTTAACATTTAATGATCAAAAGCGCATTACAATATTAAAATATATAATATAAAATGTGTACATAAACTAAATTTAGCAATAACAAAGGAATTTAAGCACTAAAGGCTAACTTAAAAGCTAACTTAATAAGATATATTTTAAGAGAAGATTTAAAAGTTAAAATGGACTCGATATTGCACAGGCCTGTTGGGAGCATGTTCCACAGTGTAGGCGCAGCTACACTAAAAGATCTCTATACATGCCCTGTATATAGCTCACCATTCAAAGATCTTCAAACTGACAACTACCGAACTGCCATTTTTACACTCCTTCATTTCTTTCTATTTGACGGCGGTACATCTGCATCATCTGGAACAAGAACTTCGATGCGACTAATAAAAAGCTATGAATTTCAGCTGTAGACGCTGGAGCATCCTCTAGGACATTCTTACCGCAGAACAATTTTAACATATTTGTAGAAATTTTTATCTCTTCTTTATTTATCTATTCATTTCTTTTTTTTTTGTTTAATTTTATTTTCTTATAGTATTATTTGAGTGTCCACAATTAGCTACCTAAGCTAAATACTCAGACAGTTAAATAAAATTCATTCATTCATTCTTTTTGCCCGTAGATAGCTTGTGAAGGGAAGAAAGTTTTACTAATCAGATCGCTTACAACATCCTCATCAACAGGTATCTTGCCGCTGTACGCTTGGATCGGGAACCCATTCTGTTGGGCCTGTTACCCGCTCCGCATCTGCGTAGTGCTCCCAGCTGGGTTCCTTTACTGTGTGCTCACCTTGGCCCCTGCCATGGGAGTGGCCATAAATCGCCTGTTTGATGTGGCGCCTCAGATGAAGGACGAAATGGGGACTATAGCGCAGACCATTTGGACGTTTGGCATGTTTTTCTGGGGTATTATTTTCTTGTTGTCGTTCCTCTATTGGTATTTTTGTGGTAAATGCCTCTGTGCCATTTGCTGTCCGTGTGAGAGGAAGGAGAAAGCCGACGGCTCAAAAGAAGGATGCTTGTGCTGTTAAGGACACGGTCGAACTATTTTGGTTTTCGTCATTTTTTGCTTTATCGTTTGCTTTTTCTTTTCCTTGGAGGGGGAGGGCCAGGGGAGAAAGACTTGATAGGGGAGGGGGGAGGGGGTGCTATAGGAATAATGCGTGTAAGCTATGTGGTAATTGACAACTTGAGTTGCACCATCGTGATGTTCGTTTCAGTGAGTTCTTTTCGAATAATTAACGCAATGCAGTACAAGTTGTTTAGTTTTGAGACGTTTGCGTCATGCCATCCTGTGCTGGAGATATTATGACATACATAGACCAACACCGGGAAAAAAGCAAGAAAAGTAAACAAACAATACGTACAGTCGCGGGTCAATTGAAAGAATCGACTGACTATCAGCTTCGTTTCCTAGCAACTGGTTTCGAACCGTAGAACAAGTTACGTGCAGAAAAAAAATGACCGTTGCTTGTAATGGGAAGAATTGCAAATTTAACACGGAAAAGTTCTCGAATAAACTTAAATCCTAAGTCCTGCAGACAGTAGGCATCTCACGTGACTCCCTGTGTCATACAGAGCTGAAAGGACGGCGTACAGCGATTGAACGTCAGAAACCGAGCGCTGCCGCTAAGTTGATTTGATTTTGTCTCATCAAAATGAGAAAAGAGACGCTAGGAAAAGATTGACGAAGTGACGAAAATTTAAACAAAATAAAAATAAAATTAGAACTCTAATTGGCTAGTGAATAGTAAAAAAACCCGTAGTATTTGCTCATTTGCTGCGTTTGTTTTGAAAAACTGTGCCATTTTAATTAGTTCTTTATTTGAACAGTTTGGCTACTGTAGAAAATAGAAAAAGTAGATACTTCCATCGCTTGTTAGATTGGTGGATTAGAGTTTTACAGTACTGTAACGAGTTATAAGTTGTGAGGCATTTATTCAGTTCCCTTCATGTCTATAATACGTCTTGTAAAAATGCATATTTATTGAAAAATGGACGTTTCAAAATTCTGTGCCAAACGCTATCGGTTTTCTATTGTTTTATCATACTTTTTTTAGTTAAGAAATTTTATTTTGAGGCCTAATTTAATAACGCTTATAATGCTGAGCAAAGATACAACAAAATATACAGTAGCAATTTAGTTAATTATTTATTTTTTAAAAATTCTTGTAAATATATCTTGTGAGGAACATTTTTCTTTCACTAGACATGGGCAATGCCTGCTTTTGTTAGGGTTTTAAAGTATAAGGTAGCTTAGTTAAGTAGGGTAAGAATTGGGCTACAGAAGATTTTATGAGTATGCATGAATCTATTCGTGAATACTTTCTTAGAATTTCTCGGTCCGACAAATGTCAATAAAAGCGAGTTATTTTCTTTATATAGAAGTAAATACAAATGCAGAGGACTATAGAGCGGTTTTCAACAAGGGTTGGGAAAACAAAACGAAAGTAATCACTCTAGCCAATCATAAAGGACAGAGACTTCCCAATGAACCAATAGAAAAGTCTGTTTCTAAGCCAATCGATTAGCGTAGTAATGCAGAACTAAATCAATTGCGAAAAACATTCGCGAGTAGAAATCGCTCTAAAGCCATCGCAACATACTGAAGGGGCTATAAAGGAAATAGTAACAAGTTAAACAGTATTATTGTGTCTTGTCAACAAAGAGGGTGAAAAATACGACAACAACAGTGAAGACTTTACAAAACGGTGAGCAAAATACGATGGCTAATAGTAGTAGTAGAGATTATGCGTTCTTAGCCAACTAGTTGCCAAACTATAGTACACTTAAATTTTCGTGGTTGGGTTGTGCTCCAAGTGACGATTGCAATTTATTGCACATTTTATGGTGAAAGTTCAATACATGTTTAATTTTGATTTAGTTCATCAGCTGGAAACGGATATCAAGCGGAAAACAATTCTATTGTAGTTTTGGTCATGCTACTTGTCTGGGAATAGAAGCAAACGATCTACTTACGAATTGATCTAAGTTATACACGATTCAATCATAGTGGAACGCTTGTATTGAGAGTGCGGCATGCAAGAAAGGGGACTGGTTCTAATCATTGGCTACCAGCTCGCAAGAAAGTTATACTTACTATGCTGAAATGTTGTTAAAATGGCATAAAAGAAGCAACTGAAGCAATAGTAGAAGATATTTATGCCACGATACAATGTTTTAGCTTTCAAGGCGCGGCTATATATATCGTTAACTTTGTGGTCTTATTTAAACTTCATTTTATTATTGTAAAAGTATACTTAACTGTTTGTGTACAACGAATTAATGTTACTTACGTAAAAGATACATTAAATTATTATTTTCAAAGTCTTACAGTGGTGAATATAATTGTGTGGAAGCTACGCTACAATTGAAATTATAGAGGATTTAGGTATTTGAAGGTGTGACTGTGATAGATACTGGTGAGAAGGTTCAGTTACCAACTGAAATTACACTCCCGTTTGTGAGAAGCTCAAGAGAGGCCTAAAACTTCTCTACAGATCTGACATTCTGTTAATTGTAACTACGTCGCAGAAACGCTTGTTTCCATATGATCACTATCTGATCATTGCAAAAAAAACAAAACAAAAAAAACCCGGGATTCAGCGATCGTTGTGACCGATGAATGGAAAGCGCTTTCCAGTGATCGTTGATCGTTGATCGTTACAGTGATTGCGCGCGCTGAGATATACTGCTATTCTTTCTCGACGATCGTAGGCATAACATGGAAATCGCTGAACTTTTCCTACAGCTATACCCAAAAATCACCAGAAAATTTGCAAAGCAGCCCAAAACGTAGATATTTGTGTTAAAACCATAATACCTAGCCAAAATATGGCCATCATGTTAACCCCCTGCCTTATGGTGATTCCTCAGAAATAAAAGTTGCCGAACAATACTTTTGAAACCTTCCCTGAACGTTCCCTACCAAGCACTGTTTCGAAAAATACAATAAAATACATGGGTCACCATTCTCGATCACGAGATATGATGGGCCATCACATCCCATTTATGCCTAACCACGCACGTTATTTCATCAGTTCACGTTACATTTTGCGGTAGCTGGAAGCAAAAGTTATTAAAGCAATACTTAAAAAAATCTTGATAGGTATAAAGTCTCGGGCACGTGGAACAATGTAATATATAATTTATGGAAAAAAAATAATAACACACATTCCTCTAATCGTTCTTTTCGAGGTCATAATTCAAATCCTCGAGTAACGGTTTTCTGTACACTTTTAGCTATATCTTTTTTTCCTCTCGAAAATTTTTTTTCTTAATTTAAAGCGGATAATTTGTACACCAAAATTATGCAATAAAAAATATAGGCCACCATGCTCGTTTAAGAGAAAACGAGCTTTTATTTTGCTTGAGGGAAATCTCTTAGGTTGCGTACGTGCAGGCGACCATATGCACGCGCTAATGATGCGAAAATCGTGCGCAGTAGGGATGCGCAATGGAATCACCTTAAATGTTTTTCTGGTATAAAAGTGGCACTTCTGTCACTGTTTCTATTTGTTTTTCATCCTTATGCGATGCGTCCGTCCCAATATTCTATGTGTTTCCCGCCACAGTGTCCCACGTCCATCTCAGCCTTCTATTTCTTTCCCGCCATAGTGTTC